GATATCGTTATCGCCTGAAATGAAAAAAACATATCGTGATATGAAAAAATCTCATATCGCCCAGTTCTAGTCAGGGAAGTTCGATATCAAATTGTCTTGCACATGTTGCGTTGCTTTGCAGTGGAGGAGGGTAAGGTTGTAAAATACCAGCAGAACCTTCCTAAGAGGTACAGCGCTTCTTAAGTAAAGAGAAGGTTTACTCCCATCTCTGTATGTAAGGGAACAGGGAAGGAAGATGTCACGGGATAAAATGTGGTTTGGCTTGAATTACGTTGTCATAGTTTTCATCAATTACTTTTTTTTTTTCCTCACAACAACAACAAGACAAGCTTGGGGAGGAAGAGAAGAGTGGAGATATACCCACATTTCACATTTGAAGTCAAGGAAAATAAGATGCTTTGTAAACTGTGTGGATTCACTCTCACCAGTAAAAACACAACAAGCTTTTACACTTTATATTTTAGTCAACTGAATCACTTTAGATTTAGGATAATAATACTATAGTTTGAGTAAAACTAAAAAGAATTAAAATAAAATCAGCTGTCAAAATGAACACTGACCTGTTGATTCAGTGTATGAGTAGCATTGTGAATAATACTGGCGTCAAAGTCAGAAATGTGTAGCTATGGCTAGGATCAACGGAAGTAGAGAGTCGGTATATGTGGAGCATAGGTTGCTTCTTTTACCAATGCTTGTTAGAAAAGGGAGCTGACACTGATGTGATCTGAAATGCAATCCCTTGGAAATTGTCTTGTATTCTAATGGCAGGGTGAAGGGCCTGTTTGTTTGAGCTGCTGTGTGTCCATTGAACACTTCTTGTCAGATATGCTTGATTCAGTCAGCATTGCAGCTTGTTTGCCTATAGGGTTTATGTATTGATCGGCTGATTTCATGTAGAGACACCAACACAGAGCAATGCTGTTTGTGGGGGTGTGTTCATCAAGGCCACCCAATGTAGACTTGTAAGAAAGACTTTATTAACTACTTCTATCAGCTTTGTGTGAATGCTGAAAACGACTGTGGTAACACGGTAAGAAGTCCAAATAAGTCTCATCGGCTCAAAAACTGAGTCACAATAGTTTTTGTTGCTAAGTGCAGATTTTCTCTCATCAACCACACACATACAGCTCCATGACTTTAAGCCTGTTAATTGTCAGATGCAAGATATTCTAACTTTGGGGGCTCACCCTCGTCTGTGTAGTTGTTTTGTTCACTTAAATGTAATCCTAGCTTTCATTCAGCATAGACTCTGGTCATTTTGTCTCTTGTATCAGTCACAATTATGAAGCCACGTCTAATCAGTTTTTCTATTTTTAAATCTTGCATTCAGTTGTGATAAATTGTTGTTACTTTTAGAGCTGCAACAATTTGAGTATTTCAAATAATTTGATTGCAAAAAATTCTCAACACAAATTCTTTGTTTCGATGCTTTAAATGTGTATTAAATAATGTAAACATGAGCCTTTCACCTGACTAAAAACAGACCTGTAATGCAAACGTATTTAGAAGTCAATAAAAAGTCTTGACAGGTTGAGTGAAGGAAAACCTGTTTCTAGCATCTAAAACGACAACTCTGTTCCTATAATCACCATTAAAACCATTACTGGTAAAGAGCTAGCAGGAGTCCTTCATCAAAGCACTTTGTAGCTGCTCCATCATCTGCCGTTTGTTTTACACAGAGAAAAATCTGCACCAAGTCTCCAGAAGCTGTATTAAAATATGCAGATGAACTGATAACTTGGTCTGATAGCATGTTTAAATGATACAGCTCAATGAAGGCTGACAGCAGCCGTCCTATTTTACATGAGATACCTGCAGCAAACAGGGGTGAGTCTAAAGGGGGGCACAGGGTGTTCTAGACTATATTAATTTCAAGACTTTTGTAACATTTTTCAGATTAAAAATGAAATATTATAAAACATTATATTCATTAAATTGCATTAATATTTAAAAATATAAAAACACCAACGTTTTTTTCACAAGCCAAAAACCCCCCAAACCATTAGCCATTAAACTCTGAGCCACTGACCTGAGGGTTGTTAGATTGGACACTGAATTATTAGATTATAAGATTACTCGATTACTAAAATAATCAATATTTGCAGCTCTATTTACAACCATGTCTTTCTTTTACCCTTCAGCTGTACAAGGCTGATGGGGCGCAGAGAATGAGGTGATGTAGGAGATTCGAATTGATACCATAGGTGTATCTACTAAAAATCTCACACGAGTTCAAACCTCAGTGACCTTCACCTCAAGGTCAGAGTAAGTTTTCTGAAAATCTTGTGAATGCGATAACTTCAGAACAAGGTGACGTACGATTTTGAAATTAATGGCATAAGTTTGTCTACTAGGAGACTGAGGGGTACAGCTGGTGGCTGCTAGTATTTTTTATTTATTTTTTGCAGCCATGTTTGTTTCAGTGTCTCATCCTGAATTTGGGCATGTGTGTTTGTTTTAGGAGCTGCTGGGTGTGCTTTGCCACGGACGAAGATGACCGCACGGCAGAGTGGGTTCGCCCGTGTCGCTGCCGCGGCTCCACCAAGTGGGTTCACCAGACCTGCCTGCAACGCTGGGTGGACGAGAAACAGCGAGGCAACAGCACAGCACGCGTAGCCTGCCCACAGTGCAATGCAGAATACCTCATTGTCTTTCCCAAACTGGGTGGGTTGCATTTCTCTGAAAATAAAACCTTGTGGAAGCGTGATGAGATGGCCTCGAAATGTCACTAGCTTTTGTTGTCTTGTTGGGCTGAGAGGATTCTGTGCTTGAGGAAATTAAGAGGATAATTATTCCTTCAGCTATGTTTTTCAAGGTCTACTGCAAAACTTTGAGTGATTGCAGTACTCCAGTCTTTGAAGCTATGTGTGATTTATGTCTGTGGCATAGATTTTCAAAATGAGGATCAGGTATATTCAGGATCATTTAAAATTGAAAGGCTTTAGATCCTATAGAGTAGTGTGTGATGTACAGCATGGTTAAAATATAAGGATGGTTAACTTATAGCCCCACGCCATGCTGAGAAGCTGAGATAAATTTCTTGTTCACAAATCTAAATTTAATATAGTGTATTGCTGAGCTCTCATACAGCCTTTCTGGCAGTTGTCAACATCAAAGCAGAATTACAGAGCAAATTTCCATGTAAATAAACTCCTGTTTGAGTCACTGCCTGCAACTGTATCCAAACTCTGGGAACTGTTGAGTTTGTCTTGCCTCAGTTTATTTACTCGAGATCCAGCATAAGTTCTGTGGCGATCTGGGTAAATGTTTCATTTCATTGTGACGACGAACAGGGGCGTGCTCGCTGACTGACCAGCAGCGGCTGCCTCAATTAGCTCGACACGTCAGAGTGGCGAGGGCTTCGATTGTTCTCAAAAGCTATGACTCACCCAGTGAAGATACAGCACGCAGAGCTGTGCTTATTTGGACACAAGCTGCTCACAGCTCACTTTCTCAGATCTCTTCATACAGTAAGACAGTGAACGACTCTCACAGAACACACTGCAGTTGCATCACAGGGAAGTTGGTTTTATCTGTTAGATGTTTTGCTGCTGGATGTGAAGACTTGGGCATATTTCAAGTTGTATACTTGTCACTTGGTTACCCATCAGCCCCTGGCCCATTGCCATTTCATAGAGAGTGAGACGTTGAAATTTGAGACAGAAGCAAACATAGTGTTAGCCTGCAACAGGTTGGGCCCAACTGGTAAACAGGTTCATGTATATTTATAGTGACCAATGCTGTGCTGTCACTCACTTTGGTGCTTTAAGCGGAGCTTCTGTGCATGCTTCTCCAACCTCAAGTGTTTGTCTAACCTCTATCTACGAGCTCATTATTGGAATGTGGTTGCTGGGTATATGTGAATGTGTCTACAGCCCTTTTGTATTTGTATTGACTCAATTCCTAGAAGCACAGTTAATCAGTACTTGGAAGTAAAAAAAACAAAAAAAAAACAACCCAAAAACATTCAGTAGCGCAAAGTTTTATGGACCAAGTTTTATTTATTCACAAATTTGAAACATTTCTGCAGACAACAAAAGCATGCAGTCAATATGGGGCAATTTCTACCAAGGTTGGTTGTGAAATTGGTAGAAATTGTGACAAAATAATCAGTGGATAACAAACTAGTTTGATCCCCTTCCCTCAGGAATATTTATTTTTGTAAAATATGTGAACGGGGAAAGAATGGCCAAGAATGGCATCTTTGCAAAACCATTGTTAAACCAGTTAAATTCTCAACCCTTCTTTGCAACTTCTTGGCCACTGCTGTTGAGGTTCAGTTGGAAATTGTTCATTTTCCTGTTAGTAGATTTATGGGGAGCCACATTAGACAGAGGAGGAAATCGCCACAGGTTTGAGACCCCTGCCCCAAAGCATAAAAAGAATACAGATAGAAATGGATATCATAGTTTAGCTTTCACTGGGGCTCTGACGTGGTAACGTCTTGTCCATGTGCAGCATATGTAGCAGCTGAGTAAAAGTGAAACAAAATATCCATACAGTAAGTTATAAAGTCAACTTCTCATAGTGTTTCAGTTCTCTTTAAACAATCTTTAGGATTGTTGGCTGTAACAGGCCCTGCTCGTTCTGTTTGTGAAATCAGAACTGTCCTAATGGATCTGTTTGATCTGAATTTGCTGTTTATTGAAATTTTGTATATATAAGTATGTTTGTTATCTAATGTTAGTGTCTCACATGTTCTGGCTTTGAGGCACTTTATGAATTGAGCCTCTGTTGTACAGTGCGCCAGTGGAATTGACACTTTAGACTGACTGCATCAGTGTTTCTCACACTGCCGTATTATTATGATGGCTTTGCGGCTTGTTATTTTTGGACAGCTCTTTATAAAAAAGTCAGTCATAGAAGTGACTTGTGGCTAAATGTTTACCCTCAGTCTCCTGATGCCCACTCCACAGTTTGTGTTTTTTAGTCATGTGTTCAAATACTGAAGTGGTTTAGAGCATGGTGATGGATAGGCCAGCGGTTTATTTTGAAAGAGCTTCCTCGTTTCTGATCTGCTGGGTGACGTTGCCCTCGGAGAATGACACAGAAACAGCGTGCCACCATCACTCTTCATTTGCTGAGGTTGGTGTTGCCTTTGATGTAACTTTCTTTGGTTTCCCTTCAGTTTAGATGACAGACTGTGAGGATGTGTGGTGGAGTTTTAGCCTCAGGATGTTTTGGGAAGATTTCTGCAGACGAAGTAGCCTAAACTTTGTTTTGTCACTTATTCCAATTTCTGGTTGAGAGTTGGAAGTGAATTAATAGGCTGCAGTTAGCACACTGTCCACCACAGCGTGCGTGCGTGCGTGTGTGTGTGTGTGTGTCATAAGACGTTTTTTTCCTGCAATGTACTATAGCAGGCAAATGTGTTTTTAGGGGTTTTGTTTTTTCACTTTTGCATTTTTTTAAATGCTGAAAGTGTTTGAATAGGAAATGGATAGTAGAGTAGTGGTTGGTTATGTGCACAGTGTTTGTTGAGTTTACCTCACCCCCACCCACCCACCGACCCCCAAATCCCTTTAGTGAGGGTCAGACGGAGGTGGTGTGCGGGGATGTTGGATGTGTCTGGATGAGAGGAGTGGGAGTGAAATTGGGTCACGGAAAGAGCAAACAGAGCAGCTCATCAAAGGCCCACAGCGACAGAGGAGATGAGCAGAGCTGCTGATGGATTCATGAAATCACAGCGTTTCTAGGTGATGAGGAGAGGATGTACCTCCGTGTACCTCCTTTCCAGCAGGGCAGCACATGCAAACATTAAGTGGCGATTCACGGATTTGCATTCGTGGCACCGCGTGACGTCAGACTTGGGTCAGACTGAATTTGCAAAGCATTTGGATTTGTTACGCAGGGTTTTTACTGACACGACTGCTTTGTCAGGGTTTGAATTTCCATGAGATTTGTCTTTGTTCTGACTGAGGACTTGAGACTCTGGCTGCAGGATACGCTGGGCATTAGTCCACTTCAAAGCAAGGCGGAGGAGTACAGCGCTTTTGGTTTTGCTGCATCATTGCTGCAGTGTTCCTCTCACATAATTTTTATTCTAGCCTCGTTCTCTTTATTATACAATAAAGTACAGAGACCCAGTATCTTTGGTCACCTAATGCACAAAACCTGTTAAAGCTCAGATGCACTCCTTTTTTGCTGTGTTTGCTCTGGTTTTAATGAACCCAATGAATACTATCAGTTTTCCAGCTCAGCAATAACAGCATTCAGTCTGGGTGGAGTTAAATCTGTGGACGGGTAAAGATGGGGAGCACTGACCGGTCACTGAGGCCAGCTCATTTCTAGAGGCTGGATAGGGTTTGGTCACAGTATTTCTCTCTGCGCGGGGACCCCTGCCTGCTGTTGGAGCAAATGAGTGGGTGGATTCTGAGATACACATCATTTTTTTCTCTTAACTCAGGTCTTGATTGTTTTTCACTTGCTTACAGCCCCGGAGGGGGGGAACAGAGTCATTTTTCAGCCTTCAAAGAGCAGGGCAGCTATATGCTGTTCTGGCTGCACTCCCACCAGCAGCTGCTGCAGAGCCAAAGCTAGCCCATCATGCTAATTTGGCTCGCTATATAACTCCTGAGGACGGCGTGTCCTTGCTGCTCCTTTTCTGACACTCAGCCCAGAGAGTAAACAAGTGAGCTGGAACAGCGTGCCAATGTGTGTGCCCACTACCGAGGTATTGCAGTTGCACGGGGCCCCCTCCTAACTTTCCTCTCCCTCCCTCCTTTTTTAATAATCTTAATTATGGAATCTGCTACCAGCAGCCATTAAGGGCAGTCTAGTCCCCTTTGCCCGGGATGGCGTAATGCTTAGGCAGGAAGAAAGCGGAAGAGATCCCAGTGCTGTCATCAAAATATGGCATATTAATGCTCTCGAGCATTGTGAGGTCAGTCCCAAAGGCAAACACGGGTGCAGTAACAGGAGGCCTGAAAGCATCAATGGCTGCTGGCAGATAAGAGACAGCTGCTGCATTAAAAACTGTCTCAGACTCGGATACTCTTTAGAAGTGATAAATGCACCTCGCTCACTTTGAGCTCTTTCCTCAACAAGTGGACTGCAGCGCTGCAGTAAAGACATTTAGCACAGACCAGCACAGTGAATGCACTCAGCTGTAGAAATACGTGCACTGCTAACAGTGGATGGATTGTATGCCGCGTGTGGCAGGTACTTACGGGCACCAGCCTCATAGTGGCCAGGCTGCACAAACAGTTTAATGAAGCCAGTCCAGAAACTGTAAAACTCCTCACGGCACCCCTGGAGTTATTTCAGGAAGCCGAGTCCTTTTACTCTAAGCTCATGTTGTTAAGGTTGTAGTTAGAGATGTGTCACCACTTTCCCTTCCTTCAAAAATGTATCTGCTCAGGTGTTTGTTTGAAATCTGTCCTTGTGCCTGACTGGGCCCTGGCAGTAATCCTTTTCCCAGTAACGGCCTGTAACCCACTGCCGCAGCTGTCCTTAACTCTAAGTGATGGCAGCTTTCTGTGCTATAAGGTCAATCAGGCTCTTTTTACTTGCTGTGCAATATATTTATCAGTGAGCTGCTGACATGGCCTGAGGAAAGGTGTTCTTGAACAAAGTCCTGCTTTCATAATGAGCAGTGACTCAGCACTGTTTCTGAAACAACTTGACTGCTTCATTTCTAAACTAGAGAAGAGATGCAGTGGTATCTCTGTCTGAAGTAGGATTTCAGTCACCGTCTGCTGGAAATGAGAACCGTGCATGTGTAACACTGATATTATAGTAAGGTGTTTGAGAGTGTAGGTTTTTCAGAGCCTGGAAGCCCAAACTGCTGTGCTCTGTGGATCTAATTTTGCAGTTTACCAAGTGCCAAAGCAGCACGCACACAGAGGCCCAGCACTGTCTTGCGCTCAGTCCCTCTGGCAGCCTCCCCGCTCCCCTCCCACTGACTCCTGGGCTAGTTATTAATAGGATGTGGATGGCTCTGTCTGGGTGAGGAAATCAGGTTGCCTTCCTGTAAATATTTCATGATTTCCCTCGAGTGGGCCCAGAATGCAAGAGACGGGAATGCAGCAGAGATGTTTTTTAAGGTCCTGCTCCTGGTGTCAGACAGGGATGTCACTACTCCAAAGGCAAGTTTGAACTTCAGATTAATTTCTTATTACATGCTGGTCGAGAGGCATCCCAGTTCTTTTTAATCTCAGTGGGCCCTGCCCTTGAAGCTCCTCCTTAAGTGTCAATAAACCTGCAAAACAAGGCGTGCACCTTACACAGCCTGCTTTAAACTTAGGAAAAGTCTGAGGAAGAAAGTTTGCTTTTGACGTCACTGCACTGTCGTAATGCGCCTCCAAGCACAGCACACCCAGTAACCCTGTTTCTGTAGAGGGGAGAGAGATGCATCTAATTGGTTGGAAATGAGGATATTTTGACAACTTGAGCTGTCAGGGAAAATAATGAGGGACATTTTCCTGACCTTTGATGCACAAAATGATCATTACATTAGGAGGATTATCAGATCAGTGGATAATAATCCCTGAAGTTCAGATTCTCAGTCAGAAGTACGCAGTAATGGTTGAAGTAGCTCTCTAAAACTACGGATAACAGTTATATTTATGTTAGCCAACAGTTTTACGTGTTATAGGTAAATATATTTCTCTTAGTTGTGACTTAAGTCTGATGATGCCTCCATCAGGTCCTGTGGTTTATGTGCTGGACCTGGCTGACCGCCTCATCTCCAAGGCTGGCCCCTTTGCTGCAGCTGGCATCATGGTGGGCTCCATCTACTGGACCGCTGTCACATATGGAGCAGTCACTGTCATGCAGGTAAAGATATACTAGATAAATCTAGTATATACTTGTGTGCAGCTGTTTGCCACTCTGACCATCTCCTGTGCCTCCTCCAGGTCGTCGGCCATAAGGAGGGCCTGGATGTTATGGAGCGGGCTGATCCTCTGTTCCTTCTCATCGGGCTGCCCACCATTCCTGTCATGCTGATCCTCGGCAAGATGATCCGCTGGGAAGACTACGTCCTGCGCCTGTGGAGGAAGTACTCTAACAAACTGCAGATCCTCAACAGCATCTTCCCTGGTCAGGACACACTCCTTACGTTTGATCCTGAGAATGTGTATCTGTGTTTATATTGTGTTTGTTACGTGTATGCTGCACTGTGTGAGTCTAACCTTACTCAGGTGTAACTGTCAGTATGAAACGATGATGCTCTAATGTCTGCTGCTGCTAAAGAACAGCCATCACTGCTGGACAGACAGGATGTCTTTTCAAAGGACAATAATATAAAACCATGTAAGGAGCTGAGTCAGAAACTTGATTATCATAACCTGATGATAGCAGAAAAGTTTCAGACAAAAACAAATAATATGGAGAGTTACTAACACCTCAAACACGTCTCCTCATCCATCACAGAAATCCTCACTGCAGCTGGTTGGTGTTCACTTCATCACAGCCACAAAACAGATAAATAAATAAATCCTCAGCCTCTGAAACTCAACTGTGTCAGCAGCTGCGCCCTCAGGTTTATGCTGCGCCCTCAGGTTTATGCAGGAATAAAACTAATACTCGTGTGTCTGCAGGGATCGGCTGTCCAGTTCCTCGGATCCCCGCAGAGGCCAGCCCCCTGGCAGACCATGTGTCAGCCACACGGATCCTGTGCGGCGCCCTGGTCTTCCCCACCATCGCCACCATCGTGGGGAAGCTCATGTTCAGCAGCGTCAACTCGAACCTGCAGAGGACCATCCTGGTGGGTCCAACCAGACTCGCCGTATGACTCACCTGACAGTAGCAATAGTTCTGCAGGGGGTTCGATGAGCAGAGTACAAACAACTAGTATATCCACCCCCTTGTTTTAGCCCTACTATTGAGTAAACGACCTCCTCTAATTTGGCCTAATTGTGCATCGTATGAGCCATTTAGACATAAGAGAAACCTTAAATGGGAGGACAGAAAGGTAACCAGAGCGGCTCATGCGATCTGGGCTGCACTGATACTGCTGAACACTTTGTCCTCACCTAGCAAACCTGCAGGAAGGAGAGCGACCAGATGAGCTGCATCATCAGTCAAACCTTTATTTGTTCTCGGCGTGATCGATCACTGTGAGACAAAAAAGAAAAACACACCACTGTAAATAATTAACTTTTAAAGCGCAATTAATGAATATTCCCACAAGATGGTGCTTCGTTCCTTTTGTGTTGAGCCAGAGTGGCGACGACTGAAACTTCACATCAGTATTTATCACATGCTGTATTAGTCAAAGTGCCAGTGTGGACGCCTCGCTTTACTTTTCCGACACACTTTTAGTTTTACACAAGCACAACCACTGACAGCTTGGACACTCCTGCCTAATCTAAAGGCCCTCAGCTCGGCGGGTTTGGTTGGTTAGTATTGAGGTCAGGATTCAAAAAATTGTTTCCACTTTTCTTCTTCTAAATAGATTTTTGTAGTTTAAATTCAGTCTTAGCTTTTAAATTTTCAACAGTAAATACTGTTTATTTAGAGTAAACGATCACTATAAGCATTCATTTTTATTGCTTTTTAGTCTGTTATTAACGGTGTACTCGAGAAATTGTGAAAGTGCCCCTAGCAGTCCAGCCATAAGATCACAACTAATATAAAACAAAGTGAAGGACGATTTTCAGGCTTCCTGTGACGATTAATGAGTCATCACATTTGCTGATTGAATGGATTCATTTTTTGTTTGCACTCAGGCGCACATACTGGAAGAACAGCCCCGGCTTGAATATTATTTCGATACACTGTAATATTCATTCAGGTTGGCCGTTCAGACATCCACACACCTTTGTTCAGACAGACTGCCATAAATGAGCCAGTTTCCTGTTTGGGTTGGAAGGCTTCACTCTCCAGAAACCTCCACCTTTACTCTTGAATGATCCTTTTTAACCAAAATATCTGTAAGTGCTCTAGCATTCCTGGTCACAGCTGAGCAGGAAACAGACAGGAATCATCTGCATGTTTGTTTATGAGATGCTGTCGTGTGTGTGATAGTCGGTGTGAAATTAAAGTAAATCCTCCTAGAGTCCGCTGTGGGGGGAGAGCTTTGATGTGTTGAGCTGAATCTGTCTTTAAGTCCACTTTCAACACCATTTTGCTTTCCTCCACCTACAGGGAGGTATCGCCTTTGTGGCCATCAAGGGGGCGTTTAAGGTGTACTTCAAACAGCAGCAGTACCTGAGGCAAGCTCACCGCAAGATCCTCAACTTCCCCGAGCAGGAAGAGGCCTAAAGGAGGCCGTCAGAAGGGAGGACAGATGGATGGAGGAACTACACGCCTCCGCTTGAGGGGGTGGGTGGGATGAAAGCTCAGTGAGCAGGAAGTGCTGGTGAAACAGACTTTTGATCGTGTCATCCTCATTACCACCTCTTCCTCCTCCCCACACCTCGCCCCTCTCACCGCCCCGGTGTGACTCTTCGCTGACATTTTGTGACGCTGGCTTAAAGTGAAGATGGAGACGTGCGGACTGGAGCATGTTAGCAGTTGATGTGCAGTTACAGTCACACACACACACCTACACACACACACACCTGTTTCCTGAGTACGACTGCAGGGTGGATGAGCTTCAGCAATCACGTTAACTATTGTAAACCTACTATATTTTAAACAATTAAAACGTGGGGCATGTGTAATTAGTTTTATAAAAATGCAAATTGTTTTATATTGTTTATTTCGCAGCACCCCATTGGCTGATGATAGTAGCTTATGTTCAAAGAAGACTAATGTTGAGCATAAGGAATGTACTCATGAGCAAACAGTAAAATGATGTGAATCCTGACGCAGAACAGAAAACTCGCCACGTCATTGTGCCACTGCAGCTGATTATCTAACGGCGAACACGCCGAGCGCAGATCAGAAGCTGATACACAGCTGTTTACTTTGTTCACGTGCTTCGTCCAGTATTCCTCATCTCTACTTTTCAAAACGCTGTCATGTGATGTGTCTTGAAGCCTTGTCACCCGTCACAGTGCAGGTGAGCACTGTGCCGTGATGTGTGGATAATACATATATTAGAAAACCTTGGGGTGCCTGACTCAACATTCAGTGCAGCGCTTACAGGAGACGGACACTTGAGTTAAAGCCGTTGCCTCCAGATTTTAGAGGCAGTTCATACCCTCCACCCCCTCGGCCTGCCATGATGGGACTTCAGTTGCCTGAGCTTGGACCAGCTCAGGTCAGACTCAGGTACTTCTCTCTGAATGACCTCGGACACTGGTAACTAAAGATGACTCACTGCAGCAGCCAGCACTTCTGAATGGAAATTAAAGGGTCAGTTCACTCAAATACCGAGCCGTATTGTCCTGCCCAAGTGGTGTACAGACACTTTGATTTTTTGTCTTCAAGTAGGATTGTATTGGTTTGAAACGGTGGAAAAAATATAGGGAGATGTTCAAGTTTAGCCACAATTTCTGGCAAATGTATTGAAATGTTGAGATATTAGGACGGATGAATATAGAGCTCTGTGATTTGAGTGAACCGATCAAAAGAGTTTGGTTTATAAGACGTGAAGCCTAATGTGTCAAACTCCTTTGTTCATGTGTAAATAACGTGGCTTTGAATTAACAAGTTATTGCTGAGATGAGAATCTGAGTGAGAGAGCCTGTTTAACACACTGTATAACCAACCACCTGGAATATTTAACCTGCACATGTCAACTTCTGTACAGGTGTTCTGAGATCTGCAGACTAAACCTTTCCCATCAGATCTCCTCAAGAGGCTGAACTGCACACGATGCTTCTAACGTTAGACTTCTACAGTATGAGCTCTGTGAATAAATGTATTTTCCAAATGTTGACGTGCACGTGTTGAGACTGGAAAAGTGGGACAGACGAGCTTCCATTCAGCTGTTTATTAATTAGAAACACACAAGAAACATAAAAAGACCAAACTCAGCACTCTTCACCTGCCCATGACCCCCACCAGCCAATCACAGTCATTCTGAGTTGCTAAATACATCCAGAAATTAAAATTTTGATTTTCTAAATGAAAACCACTCACTAGGTAATTCACGTCAAACAGTGCACGGCCCGCC